ACCGTCTTCAGAGTCAATAGCTACAGACCTCCATACTTTGTGTGGCCTTTAGATTAGCATAACAGTACGTAGAGAGCTTCATGGAATGGGTTTCCATAGCCGAGCAGCTGCATTCAAGCCTTACATCACCAAGTGCAATGCAAAGCTTTGGATGCAGTGGTGTAAAGCATGTCGCCACTGGACTCTAGAGCAGTGGAGACATGTTCTCTGGAGTGCAGAATCACATTTCTCTGTCTGGCGATCCAATGGACTTGTCAGGGTTTGGCGGTTGCCAGGAGAATGGTACTTGCCTGACTGCATTGTGCAAAGTGTAAAGTTTGGTGGAGGGGGGATTATGGTGTGGGGTTGTTTTTCAGGGCTTGGGCTCGGCCCCTTAGTTCCAGTGAAGGGAACTCTTAAGGCATCAGCATACCAAGATATTTTGTACAATATCATGCTCCCAACTTTGTAGGAACTATTTGGGGATGGCCCCTTTCTGTTCCAACATGACTGTGCACCAGTGCACAAAGCAAGGTCCATAAAGAAATGGATAAGTGAGTTTGGGGTGGTCAAACTTTACTGGCCTGCTTTACTGAGTCTTGACCTCAACTTGATAGAACACCTTTGGGATGAATTAGAGCAGAGACCTGCGAGCCAGGCCTTCTCGTCTGACATCAGTGCCTGACCTCACAAATGCACTTCTAGAAAAATGGTCAAACCTTTCCATAGACACACACCTAAACCTTGTGGACAGCCTTCCCAGAAGAGTTGAAGCTGTTATAGCTGCAAAGTGAGAGCCAACTCAGTATTGAACCCTACAGACTAAGACTGGGATGCCAATACAGTTCATGTGCGTGTAAAGGCAGGCGCTCCAATACTTTTGGCAATATAGTGTAAATGCTCTAAGCAGAACTAACGCCTCCTATCTTTTTCAGCCAGTGAAGCTGCTATCTTGGCCTCTGTTTGATCTGCAAAGGCTGTGGTGCTGCACATGTGATCAGTTATGACACCAGTCATTTGAGGATTTCACAGTTTGGGTGAGAGCACAAGCAAATGTGACAGTTAGGGCTCGTTCACACTTAACTGTTTTACGAACGCTTGCCAAATGCCCCTATAGCATTTGGCAAACTTTGGTCCGGCGTTTGCAGAACATTTTTTAACGCACGGCAAACTCTTCGCAAACGCCACATGCGCGGTTTAGCGGCGGTTGCTAGGCATTTACCGAGCATTAAAAACGCCCCACAAACGCCTATAATGAAGTTTAAATGGTGTTACTGCTCCGCAACCGCGTCGCAGCCGCACCGCAAACGCCGGCCGGGCGTTTGCGGAGCGTCACTATAGACTAGAATAGGAGGCTTCAACACCTCCTGACCCAACCAGAGGCGTCCGTTTTGCCGCGACGCTACCGCTCCTGTTAGAACAGCACCATGTGCTGCAATGTGCAGAATTGTCAGAGGCGTTTGCGAAGCGGTAATAACGCTTCCCAAACTCCTCTCTGCCGCCTGCACACAACGCTAGTGTGAACGTAGCCTTACATTCCCAGCATAGAATTGTTTTTTGAAACTATTCGGCCTCATTCACACAAGTGTGCAGAAACATCAGTTTTTCTGTATGTCTGCTGCAAGAGCACAACAAAATCAGTTGTGCCATGTTCACACCACAACATTAGTATCACGTGCAGATTTTTTTCTGTGCAGGAATCTGCAACGTGTATAAAACTCATTGAGGAACGCATGAAAACTGATGTGAACTGATTTGTCTGAAAGTGTAATCTGCACATCAGTTTTTTTTATCAGCTTTTCTGCATGTATGGTGTGAACAAGGCCTTAAATAGATGTGCTTAGTTCCGCTTTAATTTAAAAATGTGGCAGTTATTCATTTAATCCCGTGAGATTTGAAAGTAATGCAGGCCATAGACGGGTCGTTTATCGGCAGAATTTTTGTCCGAAACGAAAAATCAGCCAATATTCACACCGTTAGTGGGGCAATGTCGTCGGCTGTTTTTCACGGATCTTCTCGTTTCTTTTTATTGGTCATGCTGGAAAATCTACGAAAAAACATCTGTTTTTCGTCAGCATTGGTTGCAGCATCCATGGCAGCAATGACCGTTTTTTTTTTTTTCATCGGCCGACAATTCGGCCGATAAACGACCCGTCTGTGGCCAGCCTTAGCTCCTGTTCACATTAGAGAAATTTGGTGTGCATCTGCCACCAGGCTGCCACAACAATGGAAATCACATTGAGGGGAACTGGAGCAGACAGACTCTGGACCAGCTGGGCAACCTATCATCTTCAGCTTGTTCAGTTAGGATTTGAAAGAGATAGGAGCTAATTGGTTGCCATGTATAGATGCTCCAGATTCTGGCTGCTCTACTTTTGATAATTTCCCTCATTATTCTCAATGGAACCCATTCACATCAGTGCAACATGGTGCAATTCGATTTTTTTTTTCTTAAAGGTGCTGTTGCTTCTTTTGGTGCTACACAGTGAGTTTTTGGCTTCATAGACTTCACTGGGTGCACATGAAAAACACATGTACATGTGTTTTTGGTGAAAGATTGTGCTTAAAATCTAGCCTTTCTCCTAGCAACAATTCATGCCTAAAACTACTTAAGAAGCTAAGTTGTACCTCATGAAGATGACTGGATGCGTATAGCAAGAATTTTATTTTTCCTTTGACCATATTTTATGAATTGTTCCCAATGTATAATTTAGAACTCAACATTTTTATCTAGTGGACTTTTAAGGGAATGAAAAAAGAAGGAATGTCAACAATGTTATATGTAAGGCAGGGTCATGGTGATGTATAGCATGTGTAGACACTGTGGTTTTCAGGAAAGGGAAATCAGAATTTTAAGTGCCTTTTATTTAGAACTCTAATGCTGGTCATACACTAGTACAATGTTGTTTGAAATGTTTAGTTTTATGAACATTTGTTTGATTTTCCAAAGGTTAGTGGGGTCAAGTCAATGTTCCTTTTTGACCATACTGGCAAGACAATTAGAAGGAGCAGGACAGAATTTTTTTATGGATTCAAAAATTTCTAATGCCTGGTACACATTCAGTTTTTTTTTTCATTCAACCCATTAGGCTGAACGAAAAAGCTGAGATATTGCAGTACTAACAAAGCGATGTTAGTACAGTAATCTTGTGCCTGCTGTGTTTGTTGCCTTCGTGAGAATATACTAATCATTAATTACCCTTTCGGATGCTGGTCATGACCCCTGATCGGGTGCTGGTTTTCCAGCATGTCCGTTCTAAAAAACCTGGTCCTTCGACTGGCTTCTATTGGAAGGACAGCTGTGCGTACGGGCCAAATGTTGGCTGGTTTCTGTTGAATCGGCCTTTACAGAGCCTGGGGTGTTTATTTTGGGAATTTTACATCCATCCTAAAATTGAAAGTTAAAAGCAAATTAAATTTTAAGTAATTTCGAACATTTAAGTAAATAAATTTAGGGGGAATTTTCATATGAATGTTCGAATTTGTATTCATGAATGTTTTACTTGAAAATGTACTAGTTTGTGGCCAGCTTAACACTTTAGCTCCTCAGTTCCATAGAAACTGCACTACAAAAGTAGTGGCACTCCTACAGTGCTTTTTAGTGAAAAACGGCATTAACATTGCATAAATACCTATTACCACAAGCCTGTTCAGTACATTTATCTGCAAACTGTTACTTTATCACTATTGCTTCTGTGGAAAGATATCCACTTTAATAATGCAATGTACCTTAATCCTGTACAAAGATAACCAACATAGCTCCATCCTAAGTCAATCATTTTCAATATAATATAAACATGGACATTGATAGACTAGAGTGGTTAATTTCTGCATATGCGTTTTTTTTAAGTCTCTTTCATGGCAATACATTTCAGTCATTATCCAGCAAAGTACCACAAAGCAGCTTATTAGATTGTTTTCACAACTATTCAGCTATTGTGTATTACATAATCACATAATCTTAGTAATATAGTTATTTAAAAAAAATAAGTTTGTTCATACAAGTAGAGTTCTACAACAGTAAAGCTTTCTAGGTAGCTCCTAGGATTCAGCCTCTATGTGTCAGACAACAACCTGCCAATAGTATTATTTACTTTAGTATTTCTGTGTTAAATAAGGCAAAAAAAGGAAACATTGTCTTTATGGTGCTGGGTTCTGCTAACAATAACCCATTTGAAGAGACCAGAGCCAGAAGAATTTGGCATGCTTCTATTTACTGGTTACATGATGCCAGGCAATATCTGAAGTAGTCAAAAGAAAGAAAATCCCCATTGGACAAGAAGTGAAATAGAGGAAAAGAACAAACTGTACACACAGGTCTGTGAAGGAAAAGAAAAGAGAGATTCAATGAATGGGTTTGGAAAAGCTTCTTAAGTTTGCCTTTGTATTAGATTGTTGCTAAAACATTATTATGTCATTTAATCTTGGAATGTTGCAAAATTTGCAATTTAAGTTTTTTTCTTAATGCGTAGCTCAGCTGAGTGTTAACGAACAGTGAAAAAAGTGTTTGTTTTCTTATCTCTTGCAGGGTCTGAAGGAGAGAGCTACATCTATATCTGGAGGGAGCTCCTGTCCAAAAACTAGCTGAGTAGACAGTGGACAGTGAAACAACTGAGAGACCACGTGGAAGGATAGATACTAACAGGCACACTGTGCTGTCAACAGGGAGCCATAGAATTGTGTGTGCAGAGAGAGCAGCAGAGAAATAGCCAGCCAATGCTGGCAGTTAATCCAGCTTTTATCATCTGGCATTACTGCATATATACGCTATTTATACTCAGTAACCAGTCCAGCCAGCTTTGTGTGATTAGGTATCAACCTATCTGTGGGTGCTGATCTAAAAAGTTAGTTTGAATCACTGAGCAGATTTTTTTTTTTACTGTAATATGAGGCATTTTGGACACTCTTTAGATACCTGGCTTTCCTTAGCCTTGGCTGTGGCTGTGTGGCTGGGGATGGCTAACTCTGAGGAAATTCAAAACCTGACAATGGAGCAAGAGTTTACCCAAGCTGTGCTGAACACATTTGGAGTCAATAACATCCTTACTGTCAACAATGTGAGCAGAATGGTGGACAGTTGCGGGACGGCAATTGAGTTCCACACACAATTTAATGAGGTAAGAATTTTTTTGTGATTTCCTTAGAAATTGATAAATGTGAAAAAAAAATTTACTGTATGGGAGTTACTGACAGCCTTCATGAAAAAAAAACTTATTTTTTGGATGTCCTTTTGGCAGTCACATATGATCCATTTGAGCACCAGTACATCTGCAGATATCCCTGTTAAACATACAAGGGGAGACAGAGCGTTGACATGTACATATTTTTAAGGATCCACACATGCACAGAAATATATCTATTTAAAATTATGTGTCTTTGTTGTGCAACCCATTTTCCAATTCTAATTTTTGCCATTATTGCTAAAGGAGGTTTAAAACTGAGAGTTGAGAGTATTCTTCTACGGGTTTGATGGGTATGGATTTAGATGTGCAGCAAATTTGCTTTTAACATTGAGAGATCAAAAGGTGTTTCTTTTGGTGTTCAGGGTGATGACCTACCTGAAGGTATCCCTCATACTAACCTTCTCTAAGATCAGAACTACTCGTGGATTCCTAATGCTACCACTCCTTGTAACCCATACACTATCTGTAACACTAACCCTCTCTGTAACTCCAACCTACCTTATAACCATAACACTAAGCATCCTTCTATTCCTAACCTTTCCTGTAACCCTAAAATGAGTCCTCCCTGTAACCTTAACCCTCCTTTAACTTTAACACCAGCCCTTCCTAAAAGCCTAACTTTCCCTGTAACTGCAATATTACCCTTCCAGTAACCCTACCTATAACCCTAACGCTCACCCCCCCCCCCCCGCTATACCTAACTTTTCCTGTAACCCTAAAACTAACTCTCTGAAAGCGTAATTTTCCCTGTAACTGCAATATTACTCTTCCAGTAACCCTAACGCTCACCCTCCCGCTATCCCTAACTTTTCCTGTAACCCTAAAACTAACTCTCTGAAAGCATAACTGTCCCTGTAACTGCAATATTGCCCTTCCAGTAACCCTACCTATAACCCTAACGCTCACCCTCCCGCTATCCCTAACTTTTCTTGTAACCCTAAAACTAACTCTCTGAAAGCATAACTTTCCCTGTAACACAAATCCTCCCCATAGATCTAACCTTTCTTGTAAACGTAATAATTACTGTTCCTGTAACCCTAAAACAAACTCTCAATATAACCGTAACCTTCCCTTTAACACTAAAGCTGGGTATACAAGTTCAGTTTTTTTTTTTTTTTTTCGTTCAACCAGAAGATTGATCCCCACATCCACATGGACTAAGTTGATGCAGGGATCTCTCCCACTGTTCTATTTTATTCTGACAGCGAGGGATCTCCCAGTCACCCTCCACATCAGAATACACAGATCAGTGCTGCAGCTATTGGCTGCAAGTTCTGTTTGAATGCTGGTTTTCACCATGAGTGTTTGACAAAAGGTGGTCATTAGATGGCTTCTGTTGAACAGACAGCTGCACATGGACCGAAATTCATCCAGTTCCTGATGAACTGGCCAATTTTTGGTCTGTTTACACCCTGCTTAACCCTACCCTACTCTCTATACCCTAACACTAACCAACCCTTACCATTCCATGTAACACTAAACGTTCTTGTATCCCTAATAGCATCTTTGAAAACCTAACACTAACTTTATTAAAGTGAGAATAAAGCCATTTTTTTTTTTTTTTTGGACACTGTAGGGAGAATTTTCATTTGTTTTTCTTTTCTGTCCATTTCCCAAGGGGTCTTCTCTACAAATAGGGTCAGATCTGGCCTGTCTGATTGGGGGGGTGCGGTAGAAAAGTCAGAGGGGCATAATGTCAACATACTATTGTTTAGTGTGCTCCTCTCCTCTCTTAGTTCCCTACATCTCTAAATGGCTGCAATGAAAAGCATATGTTTCAGGCCAGTGTTTCTCAACCTTTCTCAATGTTCATTTCTGTGTCATGGTCATGGCACCCTTTAAAAGTATACAAAATCCCAAGGCGTCCCAATCCTGATCTGTATTTATTGGGCTGAAGGACACTGACATCTGCACTGGATGATGTCACCCACTACTTGGCACCTCATTGGGGAGTTCCCCCTTCATATCAGATTTTACCCATCACTTCAGAGGCAGCCCCGTTAACATCACATTCACATTCACCCCATTACATAGCCTCCTTCAAATCAGAGTAACCCCATCCCTTCAGAATAACCTCCTTCCCATTAGAGTTCCCCCATCACAAGAGAGTCCCCCCCCTCTTCATAGCATAGCCCCCCTTTCAAAAATAGCAAATCATTCCATGCATCTTGGTCCTCCCCCCTGCAGCACAGGAACAAATTATGCGGTGTGTTGGATAGAGGCAGAGCACTGTATAGCCATGCCAGTTTGACACCCTTGAGGTTGCCCGCTGCACCCCTCCCCACCCTTCTACTTCCTGATACCCCACCCCCCCTAGGTCTGGCCCTGTCTACAAATGGGAAATCCCCTCCTAGACAGTTGTCACCAGAACAGGTTTACTCATTAGAAGATCTCCCTTTCCTGCAACAACCAAATTTAGCATTTCTTCCCTCAGTAGCGGACACTAGTGAACAACTCCACATCATATCAGCACTGCTCTATCAGGCAATTATGGGATGCTGAATGTGTTTCCATAGTGATGCTTGCTCAGGTATGCTGCCAAAAGTGGCATGCCAGTTGGGGACATGCAGCATCCACCTAAATATGTCGCCTCTTCATTTTACCCCACCAGTAGAAAATTAAGCTTTTATAGGGTCCATTGCTCTTTCAAAGATTTTGGCTGTAACACAGTTGTCTAGACCCTGTAATAGTTAATTGTGCCACTTAACTACTGGGGGTGCAATGGAAAGAATGAAAGTCCAATTGTTTCCCAAGGAGGGCATGACAGAAGTTATTTTTTTTTTTTTTTACTTTTGTATAACACTCAATTGGGGTTAAACTGGGTATACATGTATCAAAATGTGGCCGGTTCAGCAGGAACCATGCAGCTTTCTCTGTTCAACAGAAGCCGACCTGTGAGTTTTTCATATGTTCAGCCCACTGGTGAACGACAAAAAACTCGCAATGTATACCCAGCTTTAGTTAACTGTTCTGAAACAATCAGTCATGTACAGAGACAGTTAAATAAGACGAACTTCTCCTGAACATGATTGGCTGTTTTGTCAACTAAAATGAAAATAACTCAAAATGAAAACAACTACTAAAGTAAATCACCCTCAATAACCTGTTTTCGTATGTCTGACATCATAGTAAATCAGTAGGTAGTAATTTGAATTTGAAAGCAATTTAAATGTCAACAATTCTGTGCTATATTTTTTTCCTACCAAAACAATGGTGTCTTTAAACAGGTGGAGGAAATAGAGATTGGAGGTGTTGAAAGCAGCAGCCAATCAGAGTTTTCCCAGCATTCTCATGCATTAGAACAATTACCCTTCATCTTCTACCTTGCACTTACTGTGCCTGAAATAAAAAATGACAGTTTGTTTGTGTGAGCAACTATGAACCAGTTTTATAGTATGAAACAGGGCGTTAATAATTTTGGTTTGCTTTAAACACCATCACTTCCCATAGGTTTACATTTAAAGGGCTGCTAAAACTTCTATTTTTTTTAATATATATGGCAAATATATGTATGCATGTATGGTCACTGTGGTTGTACAGAAGTCATTCTACCAATCAACTTCTATACAACCATCCTGTTGGATTCTCCCCGCTCGATCAGTGCTGCAGGCTATAACCTGCAACACTGATTAGTGTATTCTGATGACAGGTAAATCTCACCACTGTCAGAATACAAAGACACAGAGGGGTGGATTCCCTCATCTACATCAAATCGTTGGATGGGGGAATCATTTTCAGATTTTTTTTCTTTTTTTTTTTTTTTACTCAAATTCCCCATTGACACATTCAAGGTGGATGAGGTAATCTTCCCCGCTGTGTCGTATTCTGGTCCAACAAAAAAAACCAAACTCATCTATGGGCTGTCTTAGTAGTGTTAACATCAGCCAGGATGTGGTTCACTGAAGACCATCTGCAACCTCTAAAGACTTGAAGGGGTTTATTTACTAAAGCTGGAGAGTCCAAAATCAGACTCCCTTCTGCATAGAAACCAATCAGCTTCCAGGTTTCATTGCCAAAGCTTCATTGAACAAGCTGAGGTTAGAAGCTGATTGGTTTCTATGCAGAAGGGAGTCTGATTTTGGACTCTCCAGCTTTAGTAAATAAACCCCGAAATGTCCACAGTGCTGGTAGCTAGAGATCATGTGGTCTTTGCCTAAGTTTTAGATCACATGAAGTAGCTTAGATACAGAATTTTTTCACAAAAAAAGGTGGTTTTTACTTAAATACTCATAATTTTTTTTATGCTTTCGTGTATTGTATTGGTTCATATAAAGCATGATATTTAATGACAAGTTCATTTTAACATGGAACAATAAATGTTTTATTATATTTATTTTCTACCATTTCCAGTTATAAGCAAACATTTATCAGAATTTGGTCAGAATGTTCATGTGTCCTTCCTATTTATAGATATTCAGGGAACCTGCCAACATCTGTTACGCTGTTTAAAGTGAACAATAGCTTTCATTCAATGTCGTAATTGTAAATGCAATATCAAACATTTCATTTTCTGGCATAGTATCATAGTGCATTTTAATAGTAATCGGTGATCCTGTAGCAATGGACTACTGACTACTGGATTATTTTTAGGCATGTTTTTTGCATGCTTAAAAGGCAAAATACAAAACAAAAACTGACTGGGTAATAAAATGCATCTTGTACCAATCACGTGTAAGGACTTAACACCTTGTGAGGTGTTAAGCTCTTGGCAACATCCACTTTAACCCTTTTTAACAAGTTTATTTGCTTTCAAGTGAACTCAATGGGCCTTATGTATGGTGCTGGTGGGGTCTCCATCATCTCTGTCTGTGAGTCTACTGCACATGCGCCGTAGCATGGATGATCTCCTCTTAGTAAGCAAATGTATTGCCTAGTTGTATTATTAATAATGGTAATGATCATTTTTATACTGCATCCTGAGCCTGTTTGACACA